CACCTGAGAACCCAGCAGGCGTGACAGTGTGCACCTGAGAACCCAGCTCTCAGAGGTTAAAGGAATATAGGTGCAATGTTGAGACCAGCCTGTACCATATAGCTAGAGTCTACCTTAAAACATGCCAAAAAAACAAATAATAGCAAGAGAGGGAGGGAGGGAGGGAAGGGAAGGCGGGAGGAAAGGAAGAAGGGAGAGAAGAAGGAAATAAATGCACCACTAATCGGAAGTTCCAGAGAAATCACAAACAAGGATCAGGAAATTCCATTTATACTGCAATTTCTCCAGGATGACGTATCTCAGAGTAGCTTCATCACTCATTCCTTCATACATAATCTGTTCTACAAGTCTGCACTCAACCCACACGAGCCAAGCACTCTGAGCCGCTGAGGATTCTGTGATGTAAACAGGCAAGCACAGCTTCCTGGTAGGACTTCCAGTCTGGTGTCCTTCGGAACAGTCTGGGGTGTGTGTGTGTGTGTGTGTGTGTGTGTGTGTGTGTATGTGTGCTTGCATGTATGTATCTGCAGATACTAGGGATGTAGCCTAGAGGTCTGGTTTGGAGGAGATGCTCCAGTTGCTGGCTACCCCTCAGTATTTCAGGTGACAGGCATCGGAGTCACACGGCCTTCCTCACCACCATGCTGCTGATGCCTGGTTACCTTCGAGAGCTGCTGCAGTGGCCGAGTGCGTTACCCTCCTCCTTCCTTCCAATCAAAGAGAACAGAACCTTAATGTCCCCACACTCCGTGCTCATCAAGTGTCCCATCTTGTAAGACTGGAAGAAACCAGATCCTTTGATGTCACATCTCTATGCCCAGCCTTTTTTCTCCCTTAAGGTTCATAAACCCCTTGTAGGGGCATGGAACAGGGGTGTGCACCCTCATTTCAAGGAGCAGCTTCAGCATGGACTGAGTTGCTAAGCAAATCTCGTGACCAGATTCAGTCTATTTAATCTCTAGAAAAGTGTCACAAAAGGTTCTTCTGAGGCAAAAGGAAAATAAGAGCAGAGAATGTTAACAAACACAAGCATCCACTGCAAGTACAGGATGCTAAAGTTCTGCCAAGAAGGGAGGTCAAGAGGAGCATTTGGAGGAACGGGCCGGGGTCACTTACTTCGGCAGGTTTTCCTGTCTGGGTTTAGCATGAAGCCTTTCAGGCAGCGGCAGAAAGCGGACGTCTGGGCATTGACGCACTCATGCTGACATCCGTGATCAGAGGAGGCACAGTAGTCAATCTCTGGAAAGCAAGCAAGTCCCTGGGAATCATGAGTAAGTCAATGTGGCTAGCCTCGGAAACCAAGGGTCTCTCAGCCTCCATTTCCCCCAAGGGCATAAAATACGGAACTTACAATTTTGACCCAGAAGAGCTTCTTCAAAAAGCCATTTCCATGTCTAGATAGTATGTCCTCATCTCAAAGATCTTTTTGACATTTGATTTTACAAAGTATTTATATAGCAGAAGAATTTGTGAACATGTACCTTCCTTGAGTTGGTTCTCATAAAAGCGGCTGGACTTAAATCTACATTGGGGGACGGGTGTGGTGGCACATCTTTATTCCCAGCCCTTGGGTGGCAAAGGCAGGCAGATCTTTGAGTTCAAGACCAGCCAAGACTATATAGAGACATTTGGTCTCAAACAAAACACACACACACACATACAAACGTAAAGTGTATTGGTCTGGGGAAATACCTCAGTGATAAAGAAGTTACACAGCCTGCACAAGTTACATAGCACACACACACAAAAAAAGGTAAATGTTATATAGGCTTGGGAATATGACTCAGTGCATAAAGTACCTGCTGCTGAGTATTAGGACCCGAGTTCAGAACTCCAGTACCAACATAAATGCCCATCTGTAATCCCAGCTCCAGAGGCAAGACAGGAGACCCCCAGAGCACGCATCCTTCAAGATTAGACAAACTGGCACCTCTGGGTGCAGATCTTAACCTGACATATAAGGTGGAAAATGATCATGGAAGGTACCCCATGTCAAACTCTGGCCTTTACATGTATGCACACATATGTGCATGCACACCCCAACATAAGTACTCATACATGTAAACACACATACGCATGCAAAAAAAAAAAAACAAGCTGTGTCACAAGCTAGGGAAGGAGCACAGCTGAGCATTTAATTGAATTTATGCAATTAAAGAGATGAAAACTTTTCAAATCAAACCCTAAACCACTTAAACTCTTTATACACTGAACTAAATAATCTACGAAACAGAGAGCCTAGAAAGGAAAAGACAGAAATATTCTGAATTTAAAACTCAGCCAGGCAGTGGTAACACATACACCTTTAATCCCTTTACATAGCACTTGAGAGGCAGAGGCAGGTGAATCTCTAAGTTCAAGGCCAGCCTGGTCTACAGAGAGAATTCCAGGACAGCAAGGACTACACAGAGAAACACTGTCTTGCAAACAAAACAAACAAACCCAGTAAACTTTATTTTGCCATACAGCAGTGGCACACACCTTAAGTTCTGGCACGGCGGAGGCAGAGGTGGAGGTGGAGGTGGATCTCTGAGTTTAAAACCAGCCTGGTCTACAGAGTTCAGGACAGCCAGGGCTACACAGAAAAACCTTGCTTTGAAAAACTCAAAAACCAAACCAAACCAAACAACAACAAAATTCCTCTCTCATTAACTTGATAGACTGAATGGACATAAATACTGTTGCCCCACCACACACACACACACACACACACCACACACCACACACACACACACAGACACACACACACAGACACACACACACACCACACACACACCACACATACACACACCACATACACACACATACACACCCACCACACATACACACACACACACAGACACACACACACACCACACACACCACATACACACACACCACATACACATACACACACAGACACACACACACCACACACACACCACACATACACACACACATACACACACAGACACACACACACCACACACACACCACACATACACACACACATACACACACACACCACACATACACACACACACACAGACACACACACAGACACACACACAGACACACATACACAGACACACACACACAGACACACACACACCACACATACACACACACCACACATACACACACACACATACACACACACACATACACACACACCACATACACACACACACACACACACACGTAGAGGTCAAAGTTGGGTTGTTCCTTGATTTCTTTTCATCTTTTTGTGAACCTGGAGCTCACCTTGCTGGCCTGGCTGGACAGAAAGCTGCAAGGAGCCTCCTGTCTCCACCTCCCCAGGGCTGGGATTACAAGGATGCACCACTGTGTCTCACTTTCTAACAGTGGGTGGGTGCTGGGAATAAAATAGGTCTTTAAGCTCACATGACAAGCACTTTGCCAATGGAATAATTTCGTTAGCTCCACAAATCTTCCCAAGATTCATTCAGAAAACGTGATCTTTAGGGCATTTCAGAATATTCACAAGAAGCATTCCCTTGGGATTGAATATAAGGAATTTTACTTGCACATGCACCTTTAAATGGAAAGAAACTGTTCTACTAACAGTCTGAACGAAACATTTTGCTGTGGTGGAAACTGAGCACACTGGTAAAATTGTCCAAGTAAGTGGTCACTTTTGTTTCATTGAGGATTTTTGTTGTTTTAAGGAATGTTTGAATATAATATCCAAAATGAAGAATTTGGTGTAAGTAAGGCTTTCTTAGTCCATAATAAAGGAGTCAGAACAAGAAGAACACATGTGGTATTCTGGAAAGGAAAAGCAGCAGGAAGCTGCCGCTGCACAAAAGTGCATGGAGGAGTCCAGCAGCTCCGCGCACAAAACTCATCTGTGGCTACACTCTTGTCTAGACTCCCACACCGGAGATCCCATATTACTTTGAAGCAAATCCCAGACATTATTTTGTCCATAAATATATTATATAATATATATTATATTATATATCTCTAAAGACCAAAATGTTAAAAAATATGTATAAGCATGTCAGTCACATAAGATGTATTTTAAGATATACTTCTTGTATAACCATAGTGTAGTTACAAACTTCACAAGTCTACAATGTTGCAATCATTTCATTTAGCCCATACATATTCTAATCTTGCCAGTTGACTTTTTGTAAAGACAGGGTCTCACTATGTCTCAGGCTAGCACAGAGATCCTCCTGACTCAGCCTCCTGAATACGGGGATTGCAGGCATAATGATAGTCACTTACAACTGTCTTCACTGTCTAATCTACTGTCTTGGGTCCGAGACAGTATTCAGCTTTCATATTTGATCAGACCTCATCTAAAAGTGAATATTTAGATTTACAGGGCTTAGAATGAAATGAAAAGTTCAGTTCCTTGGTTGCACTGGCTGCACTCACTCCTAGCTGTTGCCTGTTGTATACAGAGTGAGTGTGGTGGTCTGTAACACTTCCATAGCCTGTCTTTGGGTTTTATGTCATAATTTTTTTAAAAGTAGTTAATTGATACATTTACAACACAATCCTTACACCTAAGGCTCAGAGAACATCATGGAAGAAGCAGAAGAAAGAATGTATGAGCCGGATGACCAGGGCAACTCCTATGAGGTAATCTCCTCTATGTACAACAAGGAAGCTACATTCATGAAATCTCAACCACACAGTCGCCTAAACAAGACCAGTAAAGTGACAACACCAGTTGACATGTATACTGGCTGGTTTTGTGTCCATTTGACGCAAGTCATCAGACAGGAAGGAGCCTCAGTTGAGGTGATCCCTCCATGAGATCCAGCTGTAGGATATTTTCTCAATAATCAAGGGGGGAGGGCCTAGCCCCCAGCCCATTGTGCGTCATCTTTGGGTTGGTGGTCCTGGGTTCTATAAGAAAGAATGCTGAACCAGCCATGGGAAGCAAGCCATTAACAGCACCCTTTCGTTATTGTTTGTTTATTCATTTGCTTCCCACTGCCTTTTCTTTTTTCCTTTGTTTTTCAGAGACAGGGTTTCTCTGGAACTTACTCTGGACCAGGCAAACCTTGAACTCACAGAGATCTGCTTGTCTCTGACTCCTCAATACCGTCCAGCAAAAAAAAAAAAAAGGCTTTTTGTTTGTTTGTTTGTTTGTTTAATTTCTGGAGACCTCCTCCAACAAGGCCACACTTCCTAATCCTTCAATCCTTCTCAAACAATTCCACTTTCTAATGACTAAGCATTCAAATATATGAACCTCTGGGGTCCATTCTTTTTCACACTACCACACATGAGTTCCAGAGCTTTAAATTCAGATCATCAGGGTTTTGTGCAATCATTGACCTGTTTCAACACTCTCTCTTTTAAAAATATACACCTATGGATATGTTTTTGTAGTTTTAGGATCATACAACATAGCATTAAATCAGGAGCTTTTTAGCATATCATTTGCATGTATAAAACATTTTAATGTCTACATAATATTCTATATATTACATGGCATAATCTGGTAAACAGGTTTTTTGTAATAGGTTTTTCAAATACATGTGCATAAATTCTTGTGTTTTTATGTTCTTAGGTTTGAAAAAGAATGGCCCTCAGAGGTTCATATAATGGAATGCTTAGTCATTAGGGAGTAGAACTGTTTGAGAAGGGTTAGAAAGATTTAGAGGTATGGCCTTGTTGGAGGAGGTGTGACCTTGTTGGAGGAGGTGTGTCACTGCGACATGGGCATTGCCTTGTCTCACAGTTCCTGCTCCAAGGCGTTAGGACTGAGAGGCAAGCCCTGTGTCTACAACTATATCTAGTACACAGTAGCTACTCAACAAATATAGTTGAATGAACAAATGATTGTCATTATTTCTCCTAATAGAGTAATACCTAGTGGCTATTTTGTGTGTCTGCTTGTCTGCGCACCACAAGCATGCCTGATGTTCTTGGAGTCCAGAAAAGAGAATTAGATGCTCTAGAACTAGAGTTACAGATGGTTGTGAACCACCCTGTGGGTGCTGGTAATCAAACTGGGGACCTCTGGAAAAACAGGCAGTGCTTTCAACAGCTGAGCCATCTCTCCAGCCCCACACTGGTAAATTTGATGCCATATATATTTTGTTAAAGCAATAAAAATGAAAAATCTAGCCAATATATTTGCAAACCAGTGCTATCTGAGTGTTTTCCCCTTCCACTGGGATGTGTTCAGCTGATTTGCTCTGAAGGGGAGGGCTTTGTTTTTATGCTTGAACTTAGCTAAAAGACAAATGTGTTCGCCTGTTTCAGTTTTAGTTTTTTTGGTTTTGTTGTGTTTGTTTTTGAGATCAGGTCTTTCTACAGGGCCTGGCTAACTTCAAATTCACTATACAGACCAGGTTGACCTTGACTTGCAGGGATGCCTCTTCCACAGCCTCACCAGTGCTGGGCTGGGGTTACAGGTGTGTGCACTGCCATGTAGTGGGCATACTTTTTGGATATAGCTAATCTCTGTTGAAATCAATATCTTTCTCTCTCTCTCCCTCCCTCCCTCCCCCCCTCCCTCCCTCCCTCTCTCTCTCTCTCTCTCTCTCTCTCTCTCTCTCTCTCTCTCCACATATATATATTAAAATTTATCAGGAACATAGCACATTTTGGTCCAGTCACACATTAGTCATGCTTGGTACATTACCTTGACTAGTAAACCATCTATAGAAAGTACATGCACAGCTACTTTAAGTATATTTTAGAGAGATGACTTAGCAGTTAAGAACACATAGCTCTTGCAGAGGACCCAAGTTTGGTTCGTAGCACCTGTATGCAGTGATTCACAAACCCCTATAATTCCAGCCTTACATGTGCATAAGTTACCCCCCACCGAAATATTTTTTAAAACAATACATCCTTTTTTTAAAGACTGAATTTTAAAAAAAGATTTATTTATTTAATGTATGTGAGTACACTGTTGGTGTCTTCAGGCACACCAGAAGAGAGCGTTGGATCCCATTATAGATGGTTGTGAGCCAAACTACCATGTGGTTGCTGGGAATTGAAGTCAGGCCCTCTGGAAGAGCAGTCAGTGCTCTTAACTCCTAAGCTATGTCTCTGGCCCAGAAAAATACACCTTTAAATAGATCTACAGAGATTGAAATGTAAAAAATTGATTTTTAAAAAAAATTTTTCTAATTTTTTGGAAGTGTGTGAGAACTGCAATTTTTTTTCCCAGCGTGAGAGCAGTGACCAGGTAGCTGGGACTGTGACACCTCAAAGCTACTAACCAGGTGGCTGCCTGGCTGTGTTGGATTTGTCCCTTTTGTCACAATCCTTGTCACTGGCTGTTTCTCAGCTGTTTCTTGTCATGCTGGAGACAGGGACTCCCCAGCATAGTGTCTGTACAAGCGGGCTCTCTCTTTACTTCCTGCACCGTTTTCCAAACACTTAGAGCATCTCTTTTCTCGTGCCAGTCTTTTCCATCTGGCTCCAGCCTACCTCCAGGGAGGGTGGGAAGGTGGCCTTCCTAGGGGGCAGTTCACCCTGGTGCTGTTGGCCTGGACCCCACAGCTTTCCCAGCATTCCTCTAGGCCCACGCATTGGGCTGGCGAGCTTCAAGGTTTGCCTTTAACATGGCCTTAAGATAGCTGAGCTGCTGGCTCTAAGCCTAGCTGGTGAGACCTCCCAGCTGGAAGAGCCCTTCACTGACTCCCAGCCAAACCTCTCCCAGGCAGCTTCCACTTCCAGATGTGACCTCGAAGCTCAGACCTTGTCTCCACTCTCAGGTTCGGGATAGGATTTAGAAACAGGGAATGTGCTGAGAGGCAGTGTGGAGGCTGAAGCTGTTCTGGAACTAGGGTGGGGATGTGATTGGGACTCCTCTCGGGAGGAAGTTTTGAGATCAGACAGATGTGTTTTCCTCCATTCCTCTGACCCTGGGGCCATGCTCCTACCTTCCCTAGTCCAGCTTCTCTCCGTCACACCACGGGCCTGGGTCACATGTGCCCTGGTGCTGTGACTGGACTGCTCTGTGTGGTAGGACTTGTGTTCCCACCAACTTTCAACAGAAGTCTTGAGTTTTTATGTACCTTTCTGCTTAGTCAAGGCATATGGTACATGCTCATTAATACTAAAATCTTTGTGGCCAGCATTCTCTTTTTGTTAGTGTGTATGTTTTCCTGTGTGCACAAACATGTACACATGTATGGAGGTCAGAGGTCAATGTTGGGTATCTTCTTCAATTGTTCTCCATCTGATTCTTTTGAGACGAGTATCTCTCTGAACTTGGGAGTTTACCTAGACTGGTTGTCTAGAGTTGTCTAGACTGGTTGGCCAGAGGCCCCCAGGAGTTTCCTGTTTCTACCTCATCAGTGTGTGCCCTTTGTCACAGGGGTGCCAGAGATTCAACTCTCCTTGCTGCCTCAGCAGTCACCTCACCAGCTGAGTCATAGCCCCAGACCCCAGCATCGTCTTTCATGAAGATGTAATTAGTACTTGGCAATTTGATAAATCATTTTTATAAACGATCTCATTTAGTCTTTAAGATAATAGACTGAATTATCGTCGGGTGTTGTTATCTCCTGTTGCAGTTGAAGTCTTTGCAGCATAAGGTTTGCCCAAGATCACCCAAAGAAAAGGCAGAGAGGCTGAGCTTTGAACAGGGTCGCCCTTTGATTGGGAATGCTGATTCATCGGCCCATTGACCACAGCTCCCGGCCACAGTGACAGCCTGCCTGTTGTTTCCTAGTTCAGAGTGTGGTTTCTTGAGGGTGTGGTGGGACTAGGTAGACAGCGTCTTGATGAGAACTGTGCAAGTTTTGTACAGAAAGGAGGGGACACTTGGAGCAGAGCCGCCTATTAAACCAGTCATGCCTTGCGAAATCAAACAGACAAACGAGCTGTGTACTGGGCATGGAGGTCTAAATGCCCTATCTTAGTTCAGCCCTGGACTAAGCTGTTCCTATCTTAGCACTTCCTTTCTCCCTACTCCTCTGCTTTGTGTGGTAAATGATGGCTCACTTTAAAATCCAGCCAAAATCTATCCTCATCCAAAGACTGCCTCCTTTGGCTCAAGGTTGGGCCAATAGAAACATATAACATATGTTTTCAATGTAATATGCCCTGTCTCCAGCTCTGGGGTTTTAAGCTGTTAATAGTAAGAGACTGGAGAATAGGAAATAGAAAGGATGCCTTTGAAAGCACACACAGCAGTATATATGGATATACCTTTGAAAGGTGGAAGGTACACCAACTTTTTATAAATTAAAATCCTATTTTCTCGTTGATATACATTGCAGAGATGCCTTATTTTTTTAAATTGTTATAAAATCTCATTAAAATATCACTGGGCCTCAATATTTCAGAAGTAGGCATTCCTCAAGTGACTCTCCCACTGTATCACAGGATAATAATCTATCCCAACGTGTTCCCCTGAACCGTTCTATTTAAAAGAATACTGGTATCTTTTATAAAACTGGTGATCACCTTTAGTTTATAGATTTTTCTGTTTCAATTTTAGGAGTTTAAATTAAGTTCAATATTTATGCATATAGCTAAAATCAAACAGAACTAAATAGTTTTCAGAAAACTTGAGCAGTTCTCAGCAAGATGCTGTCCACCTCAAGAAGCCATGTTCAGTTCCTTTTGGCTCAGCAAATTTCTGGCCCTCATGTGGAGTCAGAGCTGGAGCCCACAAGCCACAGAGCTTCAGTGAGAATGTTCTTCAGGCCCTGTTATGACGATAGGCATAGCCACACTGAGGCAGCATGTGGGACACTGGTTTGATTGTTAGCATGTTTGTCTCTAACAAAAACTTTGCTATACATATTACATGCCGTCACCAAAAACTTTGACTAGGGATAGTGAGACCAAGTAAGCCATAATCTTAGAATTATTTAGAAAGTCTGACACAGGAGGAATCGGAGCAGATCCCCATGACTTAACACGGGCTAATCCATGCTTGGGACAGGTCTGTGTCCACAGTGCCCACTGCAATAGCAATGTGTGTTCATGTGCGTGTAACTTACTTGAGCATGTTTTCTTATCTGTGTTAAGAGCAAATCCCTCGTGGCACCGGCACAGGTAGGAACTTTCAGCATTTACACACTCGTGTTCACATCCATGATTTTCTGAGGCGCAGTAGTCAACAGCTGAAAACAACACATATTTAGATTTAATTAGGAATACAAAGAAGGGTGCACTAGAATCTCAGAATACCTGTAACAAAAATAATTGGAGCTGATATTGTCCCATCCTCCACCTCCCCCAACGATATGGATAAATAAGCATGAATCCAAGATCCCCTAAAACCATCAAGAATCTAGATCGGGCTTTCATTCTGGAAGATAAAGAATATATGGACAAGTATATTTAAAAGTCAAAGAAAGGCAAATCAAAATGACTACAAGGCACACCTATTGAACTGGGGAAAGTGGAGATTTGCTAAAACCTAGTGGCAGCTGTGAGTGTAGCTCAATGTGAGATTTCAGAGGCTCGAAGACAATCCCAGCACCGTAAAACAACAAAGTGCTGAAAACTCAAGGCAGCAAGTCACCACAAACAACGCACTATTATATAAATCGTGAATAGCAGTAAGAATCATTATGAAAGCAATTTGATAATTTTAATTTGCAAGTCTAATTCAAGAAAATAACTGGAGTGGGAAAATTATTTATGTACAATAAGATATTTATAGTAGCATCATCTACAGTGACCAAATATGTGTGAAAATAAGATAAGAACTTATAATAAGGGTAAATTATTTAGTAGTCCATGAGAAAATATACTGGATCATACCTCATTAGTTCCATATATATTCACCGAGTATATACTGTGTTTTAGAGACAGAGTGAATAACAAATGAGACCCACACAGCCTCAGGGTGTTAACATTGGTGGAGGTAACATACCAAAGTCATTAAATAGCATAATCCACTAGAAGATGGAGAATGTTCTAGAGGAAAACAAGATGAGTAGGACCAGTCAGGGAAGGAGGCTGGGGTATGACAGAGGTGGTCTGGAAAGGATTCTCCAGAAAGGTGATTGGGCAGTACTGAATTAGGTATCAGTCATAAGGACATCTTGGAGTGTCCCAGGTACACAGGGTACCTGTCAGGTCAGGTCAGGAGGTGGGGACACACGTACTGTGCTACAGGACCAGCAAAAGAGGCCCATGAAGAACAGGAAGAGAGGTAGAGATGCAAGTGGTGTGGTTAAAAGAGACACGTGGGCTTCAAGGACATAACTTTCTGCACTAGTGTTCATGGCTTTATGTGGAAACAGCATTACAGAGGTAATAAAGTTAAGCTGAAGACTATTCAGTATGATTGATGAAGGGGAGTAAGTAGGAGTGGCGCTGATGTTAAGGTCCTGTTTCCCAATTGGTTCTTGATCTGTCAGTAAAGAAGGCAAGGACCTTGCTGGGTGAAAGTGATAGACAAGACTCCAGGTCCTTGGAGACAAGCAGAGAGATGCAAGGAAAGGAGGGGAGAGTCACCATGCTTCTGTTGGAGAAAAGTTGACCAGCCATGTTAGATTTCAAAAGAGAGTGGCCACACAGGCTGCTCCTACAGGCAGGTGGCTGGGTGTTTAGCAGGGACTAGACGTAACTGAGCACTAAAGTTTAGGGCAGGTAGGAGGTGCAGAGATAAGAATATAGATAAGGACAACCTAGCCGTGGTAGTTTAATAATGCCCAGCAATTGTGTTAAGAAGGCAAGTTGAAATTGAACAACTGTGTGTGCGCCATTTATCTGTGGATTAAAGGGAAGTGGGGTGTGTTCTGTTCCTGGAGCTTGGTGGAGTAGCAAATGCCACACATAACAGAAGTAGCCAGGAAGATGAGGAACAGGCAAATATACTAGATACCCAAGGACCTGAGTCCAATTCCTGGAGCCTGTATAGAAAAATAGATATAGTGCTCACATCTGTAACCCAGCACTCCTAACGGTAAGATGGGAGGTAGAGACAGGATGGGGACGCTGAGAGGTCAGAGAGCCTGGAGTATACAGGCTCTGTGAAACCCTGCCTCACAAAATGGAAGATGAAAATTTACTCCCTTAAATTGTCTGTCAGGGGGAAGGGATGCCTCAGTATGGGCCTGTGGAGGCACCCCCTTCCCACACACCTGACTGCACATCTGCCAATCATATTCCTTCTATCTTTTTATAAAACACAACACACACACCAAATAGGAGCACACACACACATCACACACACACAAATACACATACCACACACCACACACACACACACCATACACACATCATATACACACACCACATCACCACCTACACCATGCATACACACACTATATCACCCAACTCTCCACACCACACACACACACACACGCACTTGCACACATACACATACCACACCCCCCCCACACACCATACACCACCCCCATATACACACACATACCACACCACACACATCACACACATCACACACACACACACATACCCCCTACACCATTACCCCCACCATACACTACACACACACACCATACACCACACACACACCACACACACACACACACACACCATACACCACACACACACACATACACACACACACTTTTTTTGTGTGTGTGAAGGAGAGCATCCTGTGAAGATTAGACTTCAAGACTGCAGGTTGGCATCACAAATTAGGAAGGGGCAGGAAGACCCTGTGCTGTGTGCATGGCCTTGCTCAAACCTTAGTTCAGGTTTCTAGTTTCCTGTATTTCCAACATTGCTGTTGATTTAAGTCCCCCAAATTCAGGGTGTTTTGGTAGACAGCCCTAAGACCAGTCCCTGGGTGTCTGTTAAAAGTGGGGCCAATGGGATTCCTGCAGAATTAGAGATGAATCCAGAGAAAAATATCAAGACTAACTCCAGGAAGTTGGGAAGAACAGTCGGTAGGATGGCTCTACCAAGAACTAGGATGGAGATGGTTGGAAGATTGTGGCAGGAGACCTGGACTTCCATCTGGATCATCAAGGAGGCATTGACACTACAGTTGTGATGGCTTCATTGTTCACAGACATACAAAGTCTGGTGAAAAAAATTACATCTCAGGCAGGCAAGATGGCTCAGAGTAAAGACGCTTGCTGTGCAATCCCAATGAACTGAGTCAGACTCCTAAGAACCCATGAACGGGCGGAAGGAGAGAACCAGTTACACAGATGTCCTGTGGCTCCCCATGTGTGCTGTGGCACATGCAACCCCACCCCAGAAATAATCAATGATAAAGTTTTAAAAACCAGATCTCAAAACTATATATGTGTAGTGATTATATCCTTTTTCTCAAGCAGAGCCCCCAAATGGGAAGTTACATTCAAGTGGAAAGACTAAACAGATAAATAGATGATAGATCTATTTCTGTAAGTTCCTGTCCATAGAATTTTAGGATGTACAAATATTAAAAGTTTTCAAATAAGAAAAAGGAAACGGAATCTGAAACTTGATCCATGCATACTTTTTGTTGTGGTTTCTGTACTAGAGGCTGAACCCAGAGCCCGTGCATGTTAGGTGAGGGCTCCATCACTGCACTGCATTCTCCGCCAGCACTCGAAGTTCCTTATAAGCAAAATCATGCATGCAGGAGACAGTAGTGCATCGAAGACAGTAACTGAAGGATGCAGAAGGAAATCCAAGACCTTAAAGAGCAGCAGCCTGTGTTGTGTGCTTCTTTTGCTTTCTGGGTTAATCAAACTTCAGTTGGAAGCATAGTTTTTAAAACTTCACCTCTGTAAGTAGTTCTAAGAGCACCTAGTACCTGTGAGTTCAGTACACAGCACCTGACTCTCAAGTCCCATGATACTTCTGGCCCTACAATGACAAGGGTTGAATCACTATATCACAAAGAACTCAGACTCTTCACCTCTTTTGAACTTCTTATAAGGTATAATCCCTTGTTTGGAAGCTATGAAAGAAGCTATATAAAATAACATTGTACATAAGCAGCTTTTAAAGCTGAACACAATTCTTGATGAATCGGCGCTCTCCTCTCCTCTAAGGCCTCTGGGGTTTTATGTGACTGAGGCAGTTGGAGTCCCTGCATACTAGGCTATCTGTGCATGTCTCACCTTGGCTGGGATATGTGCTTATACAGCAGCTATGGTGGGACACCTGTGCTCTTGAACACTCCCATTCTTCTGCTGCCCACATGGTATGTCTGTAAGACATAGGTTCTCAAGGTATGGTCTGTAAACTGCTCACATCAACAATCATTTGAAAACTTACTCATAATATCAATTCTCTGGTCCTGCCCTAGACAAGTGGAATCAGAATTTCTGGGTATGGGAACCTGGAATCTGTGTCAACAAGTCCATAGGGGATTCTAATGCATGCTAAATTTTGGTAGTCTCTGTTTAATTGTAACAACATTCTATACATGACATTTGCACATGATATTGTAGCTAACTATAATAATAACAAGTAAATATAAGCACTCAGAATTTTTCTTAAAAATAAAAACTAAGTCAATAGCTTTGGAGAAATGAGGTTTGGTACCAATTAAAGTTACTCTGAGAACAATAATTTTTATGGTATTATAAACATGAAAGATAGAACATTTTTCATTAATATCAAGAAGTATTCTGACCCTAGATTATTTTACAGAGTTTTTCATATCCTGTGCCAACTTAAAGACCTCTGAACTGGAAAAATCCCAGATATGTCATAGGAATGATTTATACAATAAAGGTGTTAAATAACATATTTTTCAAATAAGCCTATTTAATGTTTTACTACTACTAAATATAACTTTTATTAAACATACACTTGTTTTTAATGAAAGCAACTGAGATATGTTTGTGTATAGAGGTGAGATGTTTAGGAGTGGGGATGTCTGATTTGAGGTTTATGGCAGGGCCAGAGTCTTAGTGTGTAGACCAAGCTGGCCTGGAATTTGTAGCAATGTCTCTTGAGTGCTTGGATTACAGTTGTATACCAGCATGCCCCCTCAGCTGAAGTCACAGTTTTTAGGACATCCCTTTTTGTACGGTATTTTCCATTCCTCAGCTAGCCACAGGCCACTGTCACAGGATGAGAGTCTCCCAGGCTTATTCTCAGGCTGCTTTGTCCTCTGTGTGCACACCTATCCAAACTAAGGAAAGGCTGGATTCAGTGACAGTAAATTCCTGAGACCCTGGTTAATAAAATCTCAATG